TACAATATCCACCCAAAGAGAAATAGCAGGGGCTTTTGCAAATCACTTTAGGTCTATCTTTAGAAAACCCCTAAATAGTAGGGTGTGGATTGAGGGTATGGARTGRCCAACTTTGYAGATRGAGGATAGGGATTGGTTGGAAAGGAAATTTGAAGTGGAAGAGATAAGGGAGGCAGTGTTCTCTATGGATAAATCAAAGGCACTGGGCCTAAATGGTTTTACAATGGCCTTTTATCAAGATTGTTGGGAGATATTAAAGGAAGATCTATGGACTGTGTTTGATGAATTCCACTCTAGAGGGGTGATCAACTCAGGGCTGAACTCCAATTTTATTGCATTGGTTCCTAACAAGAGGAATGCATGTCACCCAAAGGATTTCAGGCTGATCAGCCTAGTCAACAACCTTTATAAGGTTATCGCCAAGGTGCTGTCCATCAGAATAAGGAAAGTGCTCCCAACAATTATAGCAGATAATCAAGGAGCTTTTGTGAAGGGGAGACAAATAACATATTAGATTCTGATAGCAAATGAGAGCTTGGAGGAGTTTAAGAGATCCAAGAAAAAATGGGTGATTTGTAAACTGGATTTGGAAAAGGCTTATGATTTGGTGGATTGGTCTTTCTTGATGGAGGTGATGACCAATTTTGGTTTTGGGGATAATTGATGCAAATGGGTCTTAGGTTGTATCAGGAACTACCATTACTCCATATTGGTAAATGGGACAGTGGTCGATTTCTTCCCAGCCTTGAGAGGGATTAGGTAAGGAGACCCCCTCTCCCCCTTTTTATTTACTTTGGTAGCTGAAGTTCTGGGGAGACTAATTTATAGAGCAGATTCCAGGGGCTTAATCAGAGGTTGGAGAGTTGGGAGGGAGCTTGTGCCACTAACACATTTGCAATTTGCAGATGACACCATACTCTTTTGTGAAACAGGGGACCCTAACAGGATTAGAAATTTGAAGCTCACTATACGACTTTTTGAGCAAATGTCAAACCTTAAGGTGAATTTTGAGAAGAGTTGTATAGTTGGGGTAAATATGGGCGAAGGGGGAGATCTCTGAGGTTGCAGATATCTTAGAATGTGCAATAGCAAATTGCCCCCTTAATTACCTCGGTTTGCCATTGGGTGATAACCCTCAGAAAGGTGAGTTTTGGGTTCCGGTTATGGAGAGGTTTGAAAGGAAATTAGCAAATTGGAAGAAAGATTATTTGTCTCTTGGAGGGAGAACCACTCTAATCAGGTCTACTTTAGCTAATCTTCTTGTTTACTTTTTGTCAATCTTCAAGATTCCAACAAAGGTGGCTAGTAGATTAGAAAAACTAATGAGAGACTTTCTCTAGGAGCCGAGGGAGGAGAAGAAGGACCATAGGGTGGGGTGGGAGATGGTTTGTAGGAGTAAGAGGGAGGGAGGTTTGGGTATCGGGAACATAAGGAATAGGAACTTGGCTCTTCTGGGGAAATGGCTTTGGAGGTTCTCATTGGAGAAGGACAAACTTTGGGTGAAGATAGTGGGAAGTATTCATGGGTTTGCAGCAAATTGATGGGACTCTGGGATTCTGGCAAGGAGTACAAGAGCATCTCCTTGGAAAGCTATTCAAGCTATTCTACCCTTGTTTTCTCCATGGATCAGGTATGACTTGCACTCAAGCAATCTCATTAATTTTTGGGAACATGTTTGGATTGGGGACTCCACCCTAAAAGACCAATTCCCAAGCCTTTTTGCCCTTTCCACTTTTAAAAATGAACCGGTGTCTTCATTCATTATTCCTTCTAATTCTATTTCTGGGGTTGGCTGGAACTTGAGCCTGCGAAGAGATATCAGGGACGCAGAGCTTGATGGTATCTCATCACTGTTATCCATTCTTGAAGAGGTGTTCCTAGAGCCAACAAAGGCAGATAGTAGAATTTGGACTCTCACCCCCTCTGGTTCTTTCACTTTTGCCTCTTTCTTTAATGCTCTCACACATTTTTCTTCTTCTAGCTTGTCTTTCCCTGTTAAAGAGGTGTGGTGTCATCCTATACCTCCTAAGGTTGGGAGTTTCTGTTGGGAAGCCTTTCTGGAAAGAGTTAACACAGCAGATTTACTTCAAACATAAAGACCCAATAGTTGTTTTTGTCCTCACTGGTGTGTCCTCTATAAAGCTGATGGTGAGTCTGGATATCACTTACTAATCTCCTGTCGGTTCACTAACATCATTTGGGAGTGGTGTACTTCTTTGTTTGGGTGCAGGTGGACCCCCCCTTCGAATGTGCAAAGCCTATTCACATTTCTGCCGTTTCGGCCAACAAAAAGGGCCAAGTTTATGTGGAGGTGTATGAGAGCTGCAGTCTGTTGGACTATTTGGGAGGAGAGAAATTCACGAATATTTACTGATAAGGAGAGAAGTTTGGATTTGGAAGCAATGCTGGAGGTCATCTACATTAGGGTTATACACTGGCTGAAAACCTTGGCTCTGTTCGCAGAATTCTCAGTTGATGAGTTGCAAAGAAAGTGGAAGGAGATAGCAGAATTTGTTCCAATGAGGAAGGCCTCAAATGTTTGTTGGATCCTCCCACCCCATGACTTTGTTAAACTGAACTTTGATGGCAGCAGCTTGGGCAATCCAGGGCCATCCGGAATAGGAGTAATAAGAGATGAACAAGGGAA